CTTTTGTTCGATTTGCGGCAGAGCCCCTATATCCAAATTTATAGCTTTCCGAAGTAAATAGTAAAACCAAATTAAAATGCATAACTACTGGCAGTCCCGCTACGTATAGCTTCTTGTTAAGGTGAAGTCACATCATTGTGTAGTCAAACAATCTTAAGTGACCCAACCTTTTAAACTAGGGTACGTCAAACTCCGTTACACTTGGTGTGAGCAAAAAGCCCACTTCAGACGATTGAAAACCACAATAAGTGTGTTGTGATCGGAGCAAGAGAGATGTGGCATTGGAGAACACCTCGCCTTACTCACCGAGAAGTTGTGTGATGCTTTGGGCGCGTAGATTGCGCTTTTAGTGAGATCATAGATGCAGCGGGGCTGCCATAGCTTAGCGCTTGAGGAAGCGTAATTTAGGTCACCGACCTTTCGTTCTATATTCAGAACCAGTGCGAGTTAGCAGATCGCAATCCGCTTACTCCAAGAGTAATCATTGCCTTACCCAAGGCAAATTAGCTCTTCCGTTTAAAATCCAAAACTGATTTTTATCTGTTTTTTATCCTGATTTTAAAAGTTTAGATTTTCTCAGATATACTAAATATTATAGTAGTAGTTTCTAAATACATGCATAACTGCTGGCTACCTAGCCACATACCGTATTCTTGTTTTGGTGCAGTCACACCATACACATCTGGTGTGATACACACCCCTGTTACCAGGGTCCGTGTAACCCCGTTACACTCCCCCCCATTAAGATTGAGATCATTCACAGTTCCAATCGATTATTGTCTCAACGAGGCTCGCGTGTCCGCTAGACACTGCAACATAATTTGTTGGAATAAAACGACTTCCTTGTTCAATGAGCCCTGTGACCACGACACGGAAGTCACAAAGTCACGCTGGTTCTAAAAGCGAACACGGGCAAAGCCCAACTTCGTCTCCCGCATGCAGTGCAATACCGGACAGTGTGTCCGCGGCACCGGGAATGTACATCATAGGCTCGATAAGCACGAGCTTTGCGCTTTGCGCACGCTACCAAGCAGCCCATAAGGCAGCTCTAAAGCGCACCCATCCACGGCCAGTCATTGACCCTCGTGTGGAATATGGCTTCCGCCCTGCGGATACCGCTGTGGAAGCGAAGGATGCAGTAACTCGATCGTTACGCGTCCACATCATCGGGCCCCCGGCCAAAACGAAGATGAAGTTGCCACACGGGAAGCTCTTCGAGCTCGTTTCTTGGTCCCACAAGAAATTC